AATATATTCACCACGGCAGCACCAGAGCAGTATTTTTTCTGTAGTTGCTCAATTTAGTGGCAGCGTCGAGCGTTAAGATAGTCATTTTCATTTTGCACAAAAAAGGTAATGAAACAAGTTTTATTTCAATAGTTTACATAGTAAGTCATTTACGTATACAATTCTAGGTAAAATTATTCGTTAAATTTCGTTTTACACGATACTTTTTGAAACTATTTTGAGCTTGTTATTTTTTATTTCTCAAAAGCAACCCTGCGTGCTTAGAAGGCGTGTTTACAGATAATTTCATCCCTGGCATATTCATCCCCGAGGAAGGCAGTCGCCAAATTCACCCAAGGTTGTTTACTGGTTATATTGTGGTTTACTGAGGGTCAATTCCCGTTCTGCGTTATCGTGAAGTGATAAAAATAACACCTTCACACCGCATTTATTTCGGTGTTAATTTTATACTTTTCACTTCATTTCACGATAACGCAGAACGGGAATTGACCCTCTGAAGTGTGCAATAGTGTACAGTAAAAGTAAAACTATTTGCGCAGCCCTCTAACCTACGTGCGTGAATCAGTGTTGCCAAAAATCTTCCAAGTGATGTTAAAATCTTCAAAGAACCATAAACACGTTACTGAAACTAAAAAAACAAATGTTCCTCTTGAAATATCTTCATGGCAGATTTTATAACAAAAAAGCTTAAATTTTTTTATTTATTTTGATTTTTTTGTTATAAAAACCATAAGAAATTTTATTTAAAAAAACCACAATAACAGGTTTATGAATTTTTAACAGTATTAATTGATTTGTTCACAAAAGATACAAGTAGTTATACATGTATGTTTATAAGTACACCGAGAAAAGAGTTAAGTTACGTCAACACATGATTTAGTTATAGTTACATTATTTGGTTATAGCTACCAATTCATGTGTTTAGCGAAATATATTTAGCTTACTTTTTTTTCTGAGTATACACATTATTCAAATATGAGAATTAACAAAAAGTTGCAAAGAACTGTAAAAATATGCAGTTTTAGCACTCCCACCTTCGGCAATCGAAGCCACCATCAGAAACTTGGTGAATACTTCGCTCAGAAATGACTGAGAGGCATCGAGGGTATCAGGTGGGCAAAACTCATGTTGCCTTCAATCTCACAAGGCTTATCTAATTTTTTTCTCTCACTGAGCAGACGACACTGCAGACAACTTGCTGGACTGCTAACTGGTCACTTCACGTGGCACAAACACCTGACTGTGTTAGGCGTAAATGACAAGTCCATTTGCCCGTCATGCCTTGAAGAAGATAAGACGGTCGAACACTTTTTTTCTTCTTGCTTGCTTGGTTGTTTGTCATCGATTTTATTAAACTCGTTCTTTTCTCTATTGTCAGTTTCTGAATTAAAATTTTGGTGTGTGTTTAGCCGTTTTGATGTTTTAAGTTTTGTGTTTTAAAAATGTGATACATATTTTTCGCCTCACTTTAAAACTCGGTGCGATAAATATAAAAATGATGCCATTAACATAAATAAACTATTGTACATATACTCCACGTGCAAAGTCATGAGTGAGTAGAACATTTGATGAGTTTATGGTGAAGATAATGTAACTAACGCTAGCGCTCGCAGTGCTCTTAAAATATATAACTCTTCCGAGGTACTGCAAAAAAGGCAAAAGAAAATAGCGAAAAAGGCAGGAAAAGGCACCAGGTATTGCAAAAAAAAACAAAATAAAGTACTAAAAAAAGACAGAAAATACGAAGAACAATCAAAAAATACATTTATTTTAGAAATGTTTATCAGGCATGTTCTGAAATTCGAAAATTTTAAATCGACTCGATTTCGATAATTTTTTCGATGGTTTTTAACTAAAAAATTTACAAGTCTCGTACTAAAATGATTTATTTCATATCACTGCCGCATCTTTTACGGTTTTCAATTGGAATATTCACACTTTCCATCAGATATAATTAAAAACAATTTGGCAATTCGAGTCGGTTTCAAAGTTTCGAATTTCAGAACATGCCCGTATATTACAAGTAAAAAGAGAAAAACTATCAACTAGTTTCATTATATGAAAAATTTGTACTTTGAATCTTTGACTATTTTATCCTTTCGACTTTCATTAAACTTTAATCTGTATAATTGTAGTAACATTGAACCACAAGATACATTTTGAAGTTTTGTGGCAGTATTTTCATTAGATTTTCGCGAAAAAAAAGCCTTGAATGTACTAAATATGCGCTCGACGTAAGTTGATACAAGTGAAGCCCAATTTAAGTATGGAACGTTTGAAAAGTTCATATTATCAGGAATAAGGTCGTTTTCCTCGCCCTTTACAATTTTATCCACATCCCTTATTGTCTCCAAGCCTACGTTAGCTAAGAAATCGGCTTTGAATTTTTCCAACACCAATTTGGCATGAGGTCCCTGCGCTTCTGTAAGCTGCATGGGCATGTGTATATTTTTTAACCTTAAAAAAAAAATTGTAAATGCTATAATCACTTTTTTAAAGGTAGAAAAGGCAAAAAAAAGGCAAATATCTTAAAAAAGACAAATATCTTAAAAAAGGCAAAAAAAGGCAACATCAAATGTGTATATATGGAATCAGAGAAAACTAAATCGTGGACATTCTTAATCGAATATACTCTATCTCTTTAGCAGAAAAAAAGACAATTTCCATAAAATCCGTCCCCTGCTCATCACTCATTCACTCGGAGGAGAAGCTCGGCCACACACTAACGTATGTGTAAGCGCCAATCTATTATTATTATTAGTAGTGTTTAACTTGTAATTAATGATGATTAGGATTTTAACAAATTATCATTAATAATAAAAATTATTTATGGGAGAAAAAACTAAATTTTGACTTTTCTCGCTCTTTGGTAACGCCATAAAAACCTACATAAAAAAATTCCCACTAAACTATTTTAATACTATTTAAATATTTTAAATTTAATTTACGTATGAATTGATCTCAACTTTCATGGTCGATAACCCCACGGTGCGCCGTAACATAGACGGTTTTGCAATTGGGCGATGGGCAGTTTTGCAAAAACATCGACGATATGTATGCTCATGGCTGCAAAAGTTATATGTTCTTTATGAGAAAATAACGAAAAAAATACTAACTTTAAAATGCATCGCCACTAACTTCGAAAATTATTTTTATTAGTTTTAATAAAATTATACAACTCATTTAAATGCTCAGCTTTACGCATTAACAGCAGAAAATGTTGTAATTTTGTCGAGCGCACGCGCTGAGCAGCTAGCGAGCGAGTAAGCAAACGAGGGCAGCGCAAGAGTAGAGCGGCAAGCAAACGAGGACCACATTAGCTCTGCCCTCGCGACCATAATATGGAGGTAAACTCAGTATATCCAGTAAAAAAACTGTGGTGAAGTCCTTTATAGGGATAAAGTTTCCAGAGGTGAAACTTCAGGTAGCACACAATTTCTTACACGCATGGTTGCTTTTCAACACGTGAAAGAAACTTAAGAAATATTTGAAAAAAAAAGTTCATATAGTACATTAATTTTGTATGTACTCTGGTTAATAATATCAAAAAATGGAACCACCGTTTAATGTTATATTTGATACAAATTAATATTGCTGCCCCGAACGTTCTGCGCATTGCCACTGAATAATAGATTTACTTAAAATTACATCCCTGGTCCTTGTTCTTTCTGTATCGCATCGTGGTGAATTCACATTTCTCAGATATTTGACAACAAAGCAAAACAAAGGGAGTATTTTATTTGCTAATTTTTCCGATTTCTATTGTTTAATGTAAATTTATGTCTTTTTAGGATATGTTGAGGCAACAAAGAAGGCGCAGTTTGAAAATGGAGTTATTAGTAATGAAGTAGCAGGCATATTTGGAAAATTATGCAGATAAAAAGGAAGGAATTTGGGAAAGCAAGTGCCTGGTTGCAGGATATCCATGTATTAAAAAGTATTTAATTAAATTGTTTAATAGAAATGTTATAAATCGGGTGGCTCATTTACGATGTGCTCCAAACATTTGGGAAACTTTTTTTTCGCCTTCTCAATGTGCTAAGTAACAAGTTAAGACGACTGCCATCACTGCCGGTAAGAAACCGCAAGCAAAGGGCAGACAACCTTCCAGGAAGCTGTCTCCTGTCCCTGAGTCGGAGCTGAAGTTCAGCAAGAAGCAGGTCAGCAAATTGCTACCCTGATCAAGCGTAAACTAAAGCGCTCTGCTCCGATTATACACTCCGTAAACGTGAAAACTTGGTGCATGCTGACAAATATCAAACAAGAAAACTCCGTGATGGACGCCGTGAGGTGAAGTTGCGCCGTGTGGCAAAAAAACGCGGCTAATTCTACGTGCCTAAACAATCCAGATTGGCTTTTGTGATCCGTATCCGCGGTATCAACAAAGTTGCACCACATTAACCACGGTTTGTTCATCAAATTGAACAAGGCAACCATTAATATGCTACGTATGCTGAACCCTATATGGGGTTATCCAAATCTTAAATCAGTTAGTGAATTGATTTACAGACGCGGAATTGTCAAGCACAACCATCAACGTGTCCCAATCTCTGACAGCTTTCTGATCGAATGCAAATTACGCAAAGCGCACGAAATTCAGTGCGTTGATTATTTGGCGTACGAAATATTCACTGTTGGAACCCACTTCAAGAAAGCCTCCAACTTCCTGATGCCAATCAAGATCAACACATCAACCCGAGGCTGGCGCCAGAAGGCTAATCACTACGTTGAGGTTGGTGATTTCGGTAGCCGTGAGCAAAAAAAAAATTAAATCAACGCCATTTTCTATCAATGGAAAAAAAAATAAAAAAATCAACGGGAATTTTAAGCAGCACATTGTTGGATATACTCAAAANGCATTGCCACTGAATAATAGATTTACTTAAAATTACATCCCTGGTCCTTGTTCTTTCTGTATCGCATCGTGGTGAATTCACATTTCTCAGATATTTGACAACAAAGCAAAACAAAGGGAGTATTTTATTTGCTAATTTTTCCGATTTCTATTGTTTAATGTAAATTTATGTCTTTTTAGGATATGTTGAGGCAACAAAGAAGGCGCAGTTTGAAAATGGAGTTATTAGTAATGAAGTAGCAGGCATATTTGGAAAATTATGCAGATAAAAAGGAAGGAATTTGGGAAAGCAAGTGCCTGGTTGCAGGATATCCATGTATTAAAAAGTATTTAATTAAATTGTTTAATAGAAATGTTATAAATCGGGTGGCTCATTTACGATGTGCTCCAAACATTTGGGAAACTTTTTTTTCGCCTTCTCAATGTGCTAAGTAACAAGTTAAGACGACTGCCATCACTGCCGGTAAGAAACCGCAAGCAAAGGGCAGACAACCTTCCAGGAAGCTGTCTCCTGTCCCTGAGTCGGAGCTGAAGTTCAGCAAGAAGCAGGTCAGCAAATTGCTACCCTGATCAAGCGTAAACTAAAGCGCTCTGCTCCGATTATACACTCCGTAAACGTGAAAACTTGGTGCATGCTGACAAATATCAAACAAGAAAACTCCGTGATGGACGCCGTGAGGTGAAGTTGCGCCGTGTGGCAAAAAAACGCGGCTAATTCTACGTGCCTAAACAATCCAGATTGGCTTTTGTGATCCGTATCCGCGGTATCAACAAAGTTGCACCACATTAACCACGGTTTGTTCATCAAATTGAACAAGGCAACCATTAATATGCTACGTATGCTGAACCCTATATGGGGTTATCCAAATCTTAAATCAGTTAGTGAATTGATTTACAGACGCGGAATTGTCAAGCACAACCATCAACGTGTCCCAATCTCTGACAGCTTTCTGATCGAATGCAAATTACGCAAAGCGCACGAAATTCAGTGCGTTGATTATTTGGCGTACGAAATATTCACTGTTGGAACCCACTTCAAGAAAGCCTCCAACTTCCTGATGCCAATCAAGATCAACACATCAACCCGAGGCTGGCGCCAGAAGGCTAATCACTACGTTGAGGTTGGTGATTTCGGTAGCCGTGAGCAAAAAAAAAATTAAATCAACGCCATTTTCTATCAATGGAAAAAAAAATAAAAAAATCAACGGGAATTTTAAGCAGCACATTGTTGGATATACTCAAAAAGTATTTGCTTTAAAACTCCATACCTTAAATTGTTCTAAAAATTCAGAGTAAACAATTCGAAATTTAGACGAAAAATTTTTGAATTTTTCTATATGTTGTATATAGTTTGAATCCTCGATTTTTAAGGATTTAGTGAAAGCAATAAAAAAATTTACTCGAAAAATATTGCGAATATTAAAAAAAAAATAATAATGTTTTTTTGAGTTACTGTATTTATCTATAATAACTCGAGTTGAAGTTTTTAAATAATAAAGTTTCATTGTTGCCTTCATTTTCATCACTTCCGCTTATGGTTGAATGAAACTTAGAATATGACAATAATATGACTCAAATACCGTATAACTAGTTAAATAAAAAGTTCTTGAAAACAATTTTAATTCTTATTGAAATAACTAAAAAAAAATTAAAAAATAAAATAGTTTTAATTAAAACAAAAAAATAAAAAAATAGCTAAACTATAGTTTTTATTAAAATAATTATAAAAAGTTATTGGTAGATATTTCCCAAATTTGGTAGATTTTTTTTAAGTGGATGGTAAATATTTTTTTTCGTCAGTGGCAACCCTGGCCGTGATCATACGATCAACAAACTGCTGCGCAAGATTGCTTAAAGAAATTGTTTTTTTTTTTTGTATTTAAGGCGACAATATAATGTGGCACATCTTCAAAAGGCGCCCATGCAAAAGAAAATTAAAAAATTCCTAGAGTTGCCTTTACACGTGTCGATTTCTGTCGATTGGAAAATTGACTGAGATATCGACCAGCCAAAACAAAAATCACCGTGTAAAGGCAGCTTAAATAACGTTCAAATTAATGATCACCTTGGAGATGGAAAATACTATTTCATAATTTCGAAAATTATTCCATTTATTCTTGCATTTCCCACATCACCTGTGAGGTATGCTTTTAGGCGAGTTACCGATTTTTTTTTTTTTAAGGTGCTCGGTTCCCCAGGAGGCCTATTTTCAACTTTACAACTTAACTTTAAAAGAATTAAAACTTAAGTATGCAATATATAAAGAAAATTAAAAATTGTCTTACATCTAGTAAACATAAAAAGTTGCACAAATTAAATTCATTATTATTATTTTTTTAATAATTTTATTTAGCTTTGTACCACGATTGTTTTATTAGGAAAACTTGAGAAAGCAACAAAGTCTAAGCGGTAGAAGTTATAGCAGCTATTTCGGAGATCACCACATCTCTTCATCAGACTTCTTTTTTCTAGATTTCAGCAGGGATCGAACCTGCGAATTCGATGTTCAAAGTCAGAAGCGTTAACCACTAAGCTATGTACATCCCGTAAACTCTTGAATTAGTATGTTCCCATAAAACCTAGGCTAAATTCAGAACTGAAAAAAAACGAGCAAATGGGGTCGAACACTACTAGCTTTAAAAGCATAATGTTTAAAATGTTTGGAGAGCTGAAACTGTTTGGCAATAATAAAAATAACAGTGCATAAATTGGAAAACTTGTTTTTGTTTTGCTTTATAATTTTTGGGAATATTGGTTCAGATGGAATTTTCTTATTTGTTTTGGTTTTTCAGCTCATTAATGATGCACCCAGGGTTGCATTTACCGTCTATGAAAATATATTTAATGAAGCGTTCCAAAATTAGCACCGAGCAACTAAAAGTTGGTTAGCTTAAATTAAATAGTTTTTTATTAAATATTTATTCCTGGTATTTAGTAAAAAACAATCAGATCAATACTAATGTATGAAATGAAGTAAATAAAAATCTAAGAATACATTTCATGAATATTTTGTCATAGAGCCATTATTAAATACAGACATAACTTTGTCGGGCGTTGGTGCTGACGTATGTATATAGAATTAATACGTTAGAGAGTGATAAGTATACAAGCTCAACGCGCTAATTTAGGTATACTTGTATGTATATACCCATAACTCGTCTGGCATATACTCCAACTGCGATAATAATGACAATTATAACTTATTGAAATGCATATTTTAGCTAAATGTTATATCGTCGCCTGGATAAAAGATTGTCACAAGTTACTTTCGGTAACTCACGATTGAAGTTTGGAATGCATTTTCTCAGAAACACGACTACAGATCTTCTCCAAAGTGTCGGAGAATGCTATGTACTAGTTCACGAAATTCTTAAATTATCTTATTTTTTTAGTTTAGTGTCAACCATTTATGAGTATAATAAAATTTTGTCGTATACGACATTTGTCAAAAAATTTGCAGTCGGTTTTAATGATATACGCAAAAATGTGATAACAATTTTTTATAAATTAACGATACTTTTTACTAATCAGCCTAATCGTTTCGCCCGAACAAAATTTCAACACAACAATTTTTTCATCCACCTGTAGTGAATACACGCAAACGAAAAGTGAAAAAGTGACCCGGTTCTAGAAAATGAAACTCATTGAATAACTCANTCTGTATACCGAAGGCAATACAGAGCCCCGTGAGACAACTCCGAGAGAGTTGTGATGCATCAAGCAAGTTTGTTGAGCATGATTTGGAGTGCCAGCAATTAACTACTTTAGTAGGTTTTGTTCTGCGGCAGTTGAGAAGTGCATTAAAAAATGCATACCCAATGAAGAACGAACGAATTATTTTTAAGCACAAGTGCGTTTGTTTATTCGCTGCACTTGGTTTTGGGCGGGAGTGCAATATACAAGTGCGTGTGTGTGTTCGCTGTTCTTTGTTTATGCGGGAAATGCATAAGTCGCTTAAACACTCATGATAAGGCTGAATATGTCGGAAACTAAAGAAGAACAGGTAACTCTATTTGAAATATCTTGATTAGTTTAGTACGACAGCAATACTAACGCAATTTGTACCAAATAGCCGAAAACATTTTAGTCAATTACTTGGAAACTAAAGAATATATCCAAAAACAAGTTAACAAAAAGTCGAAATATCTTACTTTAAAATATATAACTGCATCTATAACTACAAATTGTCAAAATGACGCTTCCGGCAATTTTCCATCCAAGCGACGATATTTGAATGTTACTCGCATAATTTCGAGCCTGTATGTAAATTTTCTGGAAAAAAGTTAAAAAACATATTCATCTGCTGAAAAGATATTTTCGCAGATTCACAATTTATTTATAGTAAATCTATCAGCCCTATCTCCAATTTCATGTGAATAAATCTCCAGTGTTTAAATAATTTTCACCACATTAAATAGCTGCACAACACCCTAATTGCCGAAAGAGCGTTGCTTGCAACACTAATCCTTTATGAGGACCAAATTTGATGAAGAAAAACATCTAAGTTTGTTTACTGGATATACTGAGCCAGTAAAAAACCTTGGATGAATTTGGCGACTACCTTCCTCGGGGATGAATATGCCAGGGATGAAATTATCGGTAAACACGCCTTCTAAGCACGCAGGGTTGCTTTTGAGAAGCAAAAAATAATTAGCTCAAAATAGTTTCAAAAAGTATCGTGTAAAACGAAATTTATCGAATAATTCTACATAAAATTGCATACGTAAATGACTTACTATGTAAACTATTGAAATAAAACTTGTTTCATTACCTTTTCTGTGCAAAATGAAAATGACTATCTTAACGCTCGAAGCGCTGCCACTAAAATGAGCAACTACAGAAAAAATACTGCTCTGGTGCTGCCATGGTGAATATATGTTTCTATTATTTTTCTTCTGTTTACGCGAAAAACAAGGCAGGTAGTAATTTTCATTGAATTTCTTCAAGAATCCTTACATTTTATGCTTTTGTTTTTTAATTCCGCGAGTTTTATGTGTTAGCAAGAACAAGGACTATGGCTGAAGGCTCTGTAACGCATACTTGGCATTGCATGTACTGCTATACCATTTTTACGTAGAAATCAAAAACCAACAGATGCGATATTCACAACGGTGTCGTAACTGTCGTATTGTTGTATGACGTTAACTTCAATCTCCTAAAAATATATTACAGGGTTTCGCAAAGTACCATCAAAGTCATATTATGAGTTTTCGCAGTGTTGAAAAGTAGTTGGTTGTGGTTTCAGGTTATCTAGACATTTATTTAAGCTTTTAAAGTTTACGACATACAACAATACGACACCGTTGTGAATCTCTCAAGACTTCTACGTATGTAATGCTGTGCGTTGAGTAACCGCTTATACGCGAAGCTCATTTAACAGATTCCTTATGTGACAACTCTCAAGCAATGCCAAGTATGTATAACAGAGCCTTGAGAAAGGCTTAAACATCTAGGCGATGGGCTGTTTACCTGCTGGATACTTGCAATCTCATTTGTAAAAAGTATACGAAATATTTCTTTTTGAGTGAATTTAAAACTAAAGGAATAGACTAGTTTAGATTTCGGGCACCTGTTGCTTGCTAGTTCATGTGTACGAAGTTCGCTGAGGGTCAATGGGACAGCCCTTTGGATAAATTGAACCGAAATTTCTGCTACACGAATTAATCAGGCCTATCACGCAATCTATCATAGCAAAGCTACGAATACGATGTCCGCCACGAATCAGAGCAATTTGCTATCACGGAATCCATGTGAACTCGAAAAAGGTGCTGACAAACCAAAATTCTGAATTTGTCGTTTCGAAATCAGCTGGCTCGTAGTAAATAAACAAAATAGAAGAAACAAGACTAAAATCTTATATTCTTTATTGATATTTTCAAATATGAGTACTATGGATTCACTGGCGTTTGCAATTATGGTGACGGAGGAGGAACGTGAGAGAAACAAATGGGACCTTAGAATTCAGCGAAAGTCACTGAGGGACGTAAGCAACCCTCTCGATGTCGAAGAAACAATGTATGTATATTGGAAACTCCATAACTTCCTAGTTAAATTTTATTTGAAAATATTTTTCAAACGCAGGTTTATTAAAAATTACCGCTTAAATAAAGCGGCCTTTTTGTACGTCCTGAGTGTTCTAGAGGGGAGTGAAAGCTCACAAAGGTCGGCGCCTATTTCTTTACTCGATCGCTTGTCTTCCGTCTTACGTTTTTTTGCGGAGGGAGGTTATCAGCACGGAGTGGGTAAAGACTTTGATATTCCAATGGCTCAGTCCACATTTTGTTGCGTCTTAAAAGACTTATTAGCATCGCTTCAAACCCATCTATGCCCTCAGTGGGTGAACCTAGACTTAAGCAACGATGAAAAAAGACAAGGCAAGTTAGACTTTTACCAGAAATATGGATTTCCTGGCGCGATTTTGTGTGTAGACGGGAAACACATTAAAATTGTTGCTCCAACTAAAGAAAAGTTTCTCTATTTTAACCGCAAAGGTTACTACAGCATCAATGCCATGATCGTAGGTTTTGAGAAGAATCTACATACTTACAAATATATACTTCAAGTTTCTTATTTAATTTGTTTGCAGATATGCGACAATAAAATGAGAATACGCTACGTGAATGCGCAGTATCCTGGCAGCAACCATGATTCTCATATATGGAATATCAGCAATGCGCGATATTTTTTTGAGAAGATGGTGAACGAAACACATGGCTTTTGGGTATATACACACATATATATGTCCAATTTTAGTGAATTTTGGNCTAGATGGTGAACGAAACACATGGCTTTTGGGTATATACACACATATATATGTCCAATTTTAGTGAATTTTGGTCAAAATAAAATGGTTTATTCTTTCCATAGGAGACGCTGGATACGCCCTGGAGCCATGGCTAATGACCCTCTTCCGATCACCTCCATCGGGAAGTCCTGAAGGTAACTACAATAAAGGGCATGCGAAGGCTAGAAATACCATTGGTGGATTTAAAACCCGATTTAGATGCCTTCTGGGTGCTCGTGAGCTTCATTATGAACCCTCGAAAGTATGTCAAATAGTTAACGTTGCTGCAGCGTTACATAACATTTGCATTCACTATCGCGTGAATGACGATATTTCAGAAAATGTTGAACAGTATACTAACGAAAACCATGAGCTTTCTTCATCAAGTTATAATGATGCGGCTTCACAGATAAGACAATCTATATCTAGGGTTGCCAGACGTATTGCTTTTGGGAGTAAACGTACTCCTTTTTATTGCAATGTACTCCCATGTACTCCCAAAAAAAATATCTGGAAATGTACTCCTTTATTAGTTTTGTACTTCTTTTGTACTCCTTTTTCCTGCTATTAATATTTTATCATATACAGGGTGTAAAATAATAACTGTTGCACAGTTTTTTTTTTTAATAAAATTGGCCTCTATAGATTTTGCGAAAAAAGTAGTTCATTGTTAGTTATCTACAGATTTTACTTTTTTATTAATTTGTTTTTAAATTTTAACGTTTACCGGCGGTAAACACTTCGAGAGAAAAGCGCAAGTAAAAACTCGTTATTGTATAGTTTTTAAATTTAACCTTCATTTGGGTCTACCAGGGGGTTTGGGAGAAAAGCGCAAGCGGCACGCAAGTCTTCGTCGGTTACTTTATTACATATCTTCTGTAACCATAGGCTAATTTCCTCCCACTAGGAGGGAATTCATTCGACCAACCCTATACATTTTTTTTTCTTTATACAAAATCTAAGAAAAAATACACCTGAAAAAGAGGTGTGTGCCGCATGTACTTATCCCCAAAGCTGGCAAATGCAAATAAGGATTAAAATTTTAAAACCAATTAATAAAATTAAAGTAAAATATTTACAAAGTTAACAAAAAAATACTTTGTTTAACAAAATCTATAAAGAACCCTTAAATTAAATCTTAAATTAAAAAATGACCATACATTCAGGAAGAGTCTGGAATTCTTTCCTTTCAGGGCGGTCATTGAAGAGGCGGTGAGCGAAGGGGGAGTGGGCGGCACCTCCAACCCCCACCTAGGCGCCCTATGGGTCCCAGGGACCCCTTAGAAAAATTGCCAAAAATCACAATTTTCACTTGCGTCAACAGTATTTTTGCGTAGAATTCGGTTAGGGATTATAACCATTACTACGTAAAATCATCCTTTCTGTGTTGCCGAAGAAGAGAGGAGGAACCCCTCTCTTCGTCAAAAGTGTATAACATTTCTTATGGATATAATTCCGGCTTCGGCATCCAAAGTATTTTTGCACTTAACTCTTTTCTGCGTAGGCGGCCTTCGGCCGCGCTTAGGGATTATAACCCTTACTAAGTAGAATTCTCCTTTCTGTGTTGCCGCGGAAGAGGGGCAGGCACCTCGTTTGTTATCAAGGGTATATAAAATGTCCCGTGCAAATGAATATTCAACCTTTTTCAAACGAAAAAACGCAAGTGAAAATTGTGACTTTTTATCATTTTTCTAAGGGGTCCCTAGGGAACCGTAGGGGCCCTAGGTGGTCGGGAGTAACATTTTTGTCAATGGCGGTTCATGCCCTCCTAAAAAAGGTCGGAAAAGGTGCCACGTCCACTCCCCTTCAATCTCCATCTCTTTAACAACCACCCCTATTGGAAAGCCAACCCATATAGTTATTTATTTTTCACATTTATTGTTGCTTTGAAAAAGATTTCTAAGATATCTTTGTTTGTACCTAATTAATGGTAATTTGTAACAATAAATTGCACAAAAAATTTAAAAAAAAATTGTACTCCTTTCTTATGTCATGTACTGCTTTTTTTCTATCGAAAATATAAATGTACTCCTTTCTTCCTTTCAAAATCTGGCAACCCTATCTATATCTAGAACACTAACGCGAATATAATTTTCAAGATAAATTTATTTATAAGTTTATTTATTTTTTTTAGTAGTTTTGACTTCGATCTTTAACAGAAACTACATATATAAAAGTTTCAAAGCCTGCACAAATTTTAAAAAATATATCTGATTTCAAAAAGTTTCATCAAAATTTCAATCTTATTGCGAATTTTCGGAAAGTTTATGAAAAGCTTTTTTTGGAAATTTTTATTAAGTTTGTGTTCATACGTTTATAAACAACTTTTTTTGAACTTTAATTATAAGTTTCTACTTATACCGCAATAACCGCCTAAGTGGCCTTAAGAAAGAATTGAGTTAAATATGCTATCGTGGTCTGCAACTACTATTCCATGTGTATGTGAAACCCCCATCTCGCCAGCTAGGCTTTTTAAAAAGTTATAGACGAGCATATTTTGGTTTCCCCATAAGGTTAACATTACCATCCAAATGTTTAAAACGTTTTTTCTCGAATTCAGGTTTTTCGACTTAGGCGGTTATTGCTTATGACCACAAATTTATACGCTCATAAAAACCTTTCTTTTGAACATTTATTATAAGTTTATATTCACCCTCATTGCGAGAGTCGTGTCGAATGCAAGTCGTTTTTCGAGAGTCGAATCGTATCGAAAATTTCACGTCATTGCCTAAAATTTCCACTCGACTAGTGTATTAAAACGGAAAAACTTGGCAGCACTGTATAGTTTTCGACAAATTTCGTCGTTTTCTTTTTTCAGCACGACAGTAAACAATGCCAATGTTGTCGAGTCGTACAATTTAGCCTAATTTACGACTTACGCAATGAGGCTGATTTATACGCTTGTAACCAAGGTTCCATTTCGATTATATTACACTTACTTTCAAGCGTTTTATAAACAAAAATCAACGTTTTGTAAGCTTAATGTTTATAATTGTAAACTTAAAAAAAGGTTTATTTAATGTTTATTTTGCTTGTTGGGAATTATACAAACCATGGATGACAAGAAAAATCAATTTTTTGTTTTCAATGAAATTAGTGTATTTATTTATTTCTTGACAACTTTTCTAAACTTCGTTGCTTTACCTCCAGCATTTGTTTTTTATGTAATTTTTTGCCGCATTCAAATTTTGCATGTGTCTATGGTGCCTGCGGGTCTCTTCCAAATCGGCTTCTTTCACATCGCACATTCTTTCCACTGCGGAGCACAAGCGCTGCATATTCGAAGCGAGGGCGTCTAGCTTCGCATTCTGTTCTGCAAAGTGTTCCACACTCTTTTGTTGGAAATTCTTTTGAAGCTCTAGTTGTTCTTTCAAAAGTTCTGCAGCACTTGTGTCGGCTCGCTTCTGGACAGTTGGAGGACGTCTCGGGAGGGATGGACTGCAGTTCTCCGACACCATGGATACGTCGGGATCGGCCTCGCAACTTCCTACTTCGCCGGCAGAAGGTATTCCAACACTTACCGTACCTGTGATACCGTGCGTGCTGGTCTCCAAATCTGTCACCTTAAAGACTTCCTCTTCTAATTCATTGAAATGGTGCTGCCTATTTCGTCCTCCGCCTGTTGCTGCCTGCTCCTTCTTGTTTTCGGATGGCTTCCTCTTTATGTAGGCCTTCCAATCGAACCACACCTAAAATAAAAACATGCTATACGAACTTATAACACATGCAGCAACTCATTACTTTTTTCCAGCTCGACACGCCTTTGGTTGGTGGGACCAGACTATCCAGCTCCTTCGCCACATTTTGCCAGAACTCCATTACCTCTTCCTTGGAGCATTTTGAGAAACCCTGGGCGATTTCTGGTTTCTGTTGCAAAAGCTCCAACAAAGTAGCATACTGCTGTCGTGTTGTAACAACTTTAGTCCTGTAAAAGTGCATATATATGTACGTTAAATTTATTTATAATTGAATTAATACTGGACATACATATGAAAGCTTTTTGTATTTTTTTCTTTTAAATTTTTATTTTAATTAACTATTTTTTAATTCTCCCCGATGCAAAAACACGTCGTAGCAAAATGGTACGAAAATCTACGAATTGACGTTTCGAGTGAGTTCAGTGAATGCAACTCTACGAATTTCGAATTTACGTCGTAGCTATTCGAACTGCGTGATAGCTGTTCCGTAACTTCTCCGAAAAAACAGTCTACGATGGATTGCGTGATAGGCTTGAATATGAATCGCCATAAGTGTACGGTGATGACCATAATTTTGTTGTGAAAAAACATGTACATATATTATAATACAATTGAAATTATACTTCGCTTATTTCTTGTTAAATAGCAGATTACACAGATTAATTGAGGGCCTGTTCCAATTGCTAGAAAAGTACTCGGGATGGTAAATTTTTGACAACTATGAGGTGAATGAAAGTTTCCGAGCCGAGCAAGAATCACACCTATCTGACGGTTTTCAGGTGTTTTGTGTTTAATAAACGCATAGCTTTCAGTTCTAGAAGAATTAAAGTCAGTAAAGATATATTTTTTTTTATATAATTGCTGCATTTAATTTGCTTAATTTCTTTTGCACCAGAGCAACTGCCCAAAATTCCCAGCAGTAAAAAGTTACGAATTGGCTCAGCTGAAATGTAAAATTTTCTTACCATAGAAAAAAGTCTTTTTTCACCATAGCGCTTTTCTACGCATTGGTACAGGCCCAGAGTAATACAATTTTTTAAATGAAAAAATAATCTACCTTATCCTTAGTTTCGAATGAAGAAACAATTCACCCAAAAATTTGTGATCCGCCGATAGTAAAACCATGGAAACCAAAAGTGAAAAGTGAACCGGTTCGGTGAAAATGAAACTTATAAGGCTGAATATCATTTTACTAATTTATTATTGGTTAGTACCAAATGTAAACATTTATTTACCAAACCTTTATTTGTTTCGGTGATAGAAATAAGGCCGAAGGACACTTAAGTATTTATATATTTATATATATTATTATGTTTATTTTATATTGCTGTACATAATTTTAGCATTCATATTTTGGATTCATCTTATTAATTTGTTTAATTACTGCACCATTTATAATTTTCTTTTAACAAGATCAATATTTGTCAAATGCTTAAACTTATTTATCTAATAATAATGCAGCACCCAACCCTGAAATCTAAGAAAAATTCCGAGGAAGGCCATTAAATAGCAGCACACAACCCTGTGCCTTCCTCAAGAGTGTATATAGCTACAACAACAACAACCCGAAAATATTGACTACTGTCTATACTGTGCAGTAAACGCAGTAATGAAGCAAATGCACTAGACAAGAGGTCCAATACCATATTCCTCGGACTAAAACTAGTAAAACTGTCAAAAACTTAAAATTCGCTTAGAGCGAGAGAGTAACACTGAGAAGTACAGGATTGATTTTTAGTAAAAAACGGTTACTTCTGACAAGATCAATATAACCTCCAAATTTTGGTTGTAAATCTTTGCTTATTATTTTACAACGCTTTTATCAACTTGCAATGTTGTGCGTCCAGAAACTTTCAATGTTGTGGATCCAGAAACTATCAATGTTGTGTGTCCGATACCAAAGCAAAGCTTTGAAAAGTTCCTATAAAAAAGCATAGTGCATAGGGCGACAGCTGTAGTGAATAGGGCGAGGTAGATGACATCTAGATGTCGCCCTATGTACTACGTTTGCTACAGCGGAAATAGACGACACGCCATTTCTTTAAATAAAATTAATTGGTGCTCGTTTGTATGTACATACATATGTAAATGCATGTGTGTGCACCTTTCTATTAATATCGTTGAATTATTTTAATATCTATTGCAAAATTTTATTCAGACAGGACTAAAAAGTAGAAAATAAATAATATAAAAAAAACTTTTTAATATACAACGCTTTTATAAATGGACTAAAAAGTAGAAAATAATACTTCTCAGTCCCATAGAATTTGTTTTGATAACTTTTGATTTTGAAATTTTAGCAAAAGTCATTATAAACAATCTATGAAATTGAAAATGAAAAACGTGG